TACCCTCTGTAGTCTTCTGAGGTCAGATTTGGTAGCTGAGCTGAAAATCTTACTGTTAAAAATCTTACTGTTCAAAAATGTTTGACTGGTAGTGTATATGTTATTGGTTGAGCATCAAATTTTATACATCAGTCTTACGGCTCATATATAGTGAGATTATGGAGGGAAAAAAACAGCTCAATTTTATTCATAAGCTCAAACTGAGAATAATGGTGCAGATGCTGATATTTATTACAAAGAATATGCAATTTTGTATAGATGCTGACATTTATATGACCAAAAATGAAGATTAAATTCTGCATATTGTAATGTAAACCAATGAGAGCTTTATATCAGTAAAGACTACTTGCATAAAATTGTATAAATATCAGATCTCCCAATAATATGTCTTAGTAAGATAATCTTTTAATGCTTACTTTTATAATCAAAGCTCTGTAGTTTCAAAACATATATTGCATTGCAATACAGTGATGACTGAGACTGAAAGATGAACAAATAAACATTCCTCAAAAGCCATTTTTGATACTCACATTTGAACATTTCATCCCCCCCCCCCTAAAAAATCATGTATGATAATCAAGTAAACCTAAATTGCTTCAGCCCAGTAAGTGTTCATCTTGAAATATTATTAACAATATTATTCTTACATTTACTTTATAAAAATCAGTAAAGATTTCAAAGCAAAAAGAAGCGTGAACCACAACCTGAAGGTGGAACATTTTAGGGTTATATAACAAACATACGTTTTTAAACCCAGACTCAACTGCAAGGCGGTCACAAATAATGCAGTGACATTGACTGATTTTCAGAGCTCTCTATTTTAACAATCAGAGTAAGTCATTTGGACAAAGATCATTGACTGAACAAGATGAGAGAGAGAGAAGGGTCTGATGAGATTAGGGTCTGAAATGAGCTTTCTCTCTACCTGGAGTGTGCTCTAGGGGACACAGCATTTGAAGCCTCGTTTGACTCACCTTGATGTGTTGAAGGGCTTTGACCCACACCAACTGTTTCTCCTCTGAGCTGTAGCCTGGCATGGACAGGATGTTATGAATGTAGTTGAAGAGCTCCTCCTGGAGTTCGAGATAAAGATTTAGTACAGGAATAACAGGAGTGACAGGAAAGAAAAGAGTGAAATGGAGGGATTAAGGCCGAGTACCTTTCTCAAAGGGTCTTTCAGGTAGCAGTCAACAATTTTGTCGTAAAGGTGCTTTTTTTCATACATAAACTCGCAGATCTGATAACTGA